GCGGTAGTCAGGTATGCTTAAATCTTTCTTGATCTTTTACCACAAATCAAGTGTCTATTCTTTATTAATTTTGAAGTTTCTGTTTTTCTTCTCTTCTTTTGCTAACTTATTTTCTATGACGTGATTCTTGAGCATGTCAGTGCAATCTTGAGTAGAAAGGCAGCATTCATTATCCTCCTTCCATTCATGGGGCATCGAGAAATTACTTTTTTATGTAATCTCCCAAGGGAAGCCTCTGGTAAATCAGGAACCAAATTCTTAGGAGTCTGCTCAGGGCCCTGACTAAAAAAAAATACATCCTTTCCACTCATCATGTAGGCAACATCTGTTCATAGTCAACGTTCATATTCAAATTAGTAGCTACATGGGAACATGTGTGTGAACGCTCACACACAAATACTATTCAAAGTGCTGAACACTATCAATAAATATTACCCAAGTGCATTCAACATCTATCAAAAAGAAGATAGAACTAGGTTATGTGCCTCTCTCTCCATGTGCCATTGTTTACTGTTGTGCCCATGCCAGTGCTTTGACCAGGAAACCACATGACAGAGTGGTCCCTACAAAGGGGCACCTTCCATTGGAAATCCCTCCTTGGCAGCTGCAACAAGAGAGTCTGAATGTCTCCTCCTGCTGGAAGCATCTCCTCTGGAAAAGTGCAGCTGGCCAGAAAGACACAACCCAAAGGCCCCCACAGCTGGATCACACTGCGTTAACAACTCACCCTCCCATTCAAGTCAACAGGACTTCTTTAATTAAGAAAACGTGGCACAAATCCAGGGCATATCTATCATAGCAGTTTGAATTCATCCTGTCTGGAGGCAACCAGTGAGCAGCAGTAGGGAAAAAATGTCCTCCATCACATTCATTCAATTAACTCAAGTAGCAAATGTCTGTAAGCAGGTCTATGTACATTACACAGAACATCCAGTGCTAAAAATAAATGTGTTTAAAACTAGCATAGTGTATAAAATAATACCTGTGAAAAAAATTTCCAATTCCAGCATGATTTTTTTTTTTATTTAGAAAACTGCATTTATTGTTCCAGCATAAGGAAAAGCCTTCATGAAGATTTTTTGAGGGATAATGCTTTATGAAAGCATCATTTTTACAATTATTCCTCTTGCCATGCTTAACATCCTAACATTAAAGACATCACTTTATCCTCTTCTACACATGAAAAGGCTAAAAAATGTATGAAGAAACCATCCAGTTAGGTTATTATGAAAAGATTTTGCCAAATTTTTGAGCAACATTTCTTATCCTTAATGGAAGTAGAACACAGGGAGTAACTGACCATCAGTTGTCCTGAGAGAGCTCTTTAGCAGTTGACTTGGGGCAAACAGCATTGTGAAGAAAACATTTTAAAAAAATCTTGGAGTCAGGCACCTTAAGAATCTTTTAAATTTCTCTCTCATTTTAAAATGTAATGAAAATACAGACAAACCTATTCATTTTATGAACCTCCTCGTTCATCTCCTACTCTCTACTTACTTCACACTGTCCATCACAAATTTCTAACATCACACAGCAAAAAAACCCCTCCAGGTCTCAGTTTCCCAGGTCTGGGCAAACAAGATGTGGAGCTAGCTAGACTTGGGGTGGACTTTGACAAATTAAAGCCTTTTACAAGCTTGTCTGTGTTACTAATGATCAGGGAACACAGTACAGAATAGGCTTGAGAAGAGCATCTCACAGATGCCCAGCTATGTGTCCTGAAACTGTCGTCAACCAAAGTAGTTCCTAGCTGCACTGTTAAATCAGATCACGTTCTCCTTGTTCTGCTCATGTATCTCAGCAAGATTAAGCTAAGGGCCATTATCTTGCCTACAGACATTAAGTGCAAGGAAAATTTAATTTGAAATTAATCTACTCCTGTATCATGGAATCATAGAATCACTAAGGTTGGAAAAGACCTCTAATATCTTCAGGTCCAACCATCCACCCAACACCACCATGCCTACTAAACCATATCCCGAAGTGCCACATCTACATGGTTTTTAAACACCTCCAGGGATGGAGGATATATCATCTTTCATTATATCATCTTTGATTTTTCCTTGGGAATCGGGACTATCACAACTGTAGCTGGTGAAAAATTTTTGGAATATTTTTTGAGTGCGTGGATGGAGATCATTGATTTCTGCCATTGGAAGCAATAGTTTGTTTTCAAATCAGACTCTGAAACACTAGTCCCTGAGTCTATTATTAATTCCTGATGTCATTAAGAAATGTCTTCTCTGTCTGCTATGCACTGACATTTATTTTATAAGGGATTGACATGATTAGAGCTTCAATTTGATTTTCAAACATGCTTGGCCCAGGATTCCCAGGAGCTCTATTTAAAGTTAGCTTCCTAAATTCATGTTTTAGTCATCTCATAAATGAAGTACTTTTCTAAGATTCTTAATGCCTAGTTTGGCATCTACCAGTTTCTCAACTCTTTCTTTGACCAGGCCATTTATTTCAGTGCCCAGTAAGGTTACCGACGATTGTAGCTCTCTTCCTTCCTCCCAAGAAGAGCCCTTCAGCATTTTTCTGCATAAAGCCAAGGAAAGCTGGATGTGCTGCAAAATAGGCAACTTCTCTGTCCACAGTCCTTCCTCCTCTATTTTACTACACTGTCACTCCATTATGTGTGGAATCTGCAGTCTTCAACTTAGGGGTATAGACAGTCACCAGAGAATAGAGCAGGCACAGATCCAAGGTGTGAGACTGATAACAGTAAGAGATCTGAAGTTTGCAGCAGAACCTTTTTCATGAGTCCCTCCTAAAAAAATATGTGTTGCTTTATGCAGTCATTCTCAAAAATATCTTCAGTGTTTTTGATTCAGTCTGGTTTGACTTTATAAAGGCCAAATTTGGTACCTACATATTAACTGAGTGACCTGGTTCTACCTGTGCTGGATGGCCTGTTGAAACATATCTGATGTTTCCACCAGGAGTAAGGAGTGAAAGAGGACAGTAACTAGGCTAAATGAAGCTATAAAAGTGTATTTCTCACTTTCTGGACTGAAATACTACAGCTCTTTCTGAATTCATGCCCTTTTTTTCACACTGGGATGTTTACAAAGCATCAGAAGATTTTAATCCTTACATCTATGGTGCCTAAAAAGAGGTGTACTTTATACCAACTAAAAAGGACTTCAGAATCAGACCTTACATGTTTAATCTGGATATGCAGAGGCAGACTGTTCCTCTGCTCATGCTTCAGTGCATTAACTAAAGAACAGGGATTAAGGAGAAACATTGCCGTTAACTGCCTGCTCCTGGATTATGGGAGGTTTATTCTATTGTCCATCGCTGTCTTCCAGCTCAGGGGGCTGAATGCCCTGGAAATAACTACTCTGTTAAAGACTGAGGCAAAGAAGGCATTAAGTACCTCAGCCTTTTCCTCATCCTTGTTGGCAATGATCCCTCCCACATCCAATAAAGGATGGAGATTCTCCTTTGCCCTCTTTTTGTTATTAATGTATTCGTAAAAACATTTTTTGTTATCTCTTACAACAGCATGGACTTTTGCCTTTTTAATTTTCTCTCTGCATATCCCAATGAGATCCCTGTACTCAATTCTTGAGTTGCCTGCCCCTTTTTCCAAAAGTGGTAAACTCTCGTTTTTTCCCCGAGTCCCAGCAAAAGCTCCCTGTTCAGCTAGGTTGTTCATCTTCCCCATCGGTTCGTCTTGTGGCACATGGGGACAGCCTGCTCCTGTGCCTTTAAGACTTCCTTCTTGAAGAATGTCCAGCCTTCCCGGACCCCTTTGCCCTTCAGAACTCTCTCCCCAGGGACTTTCTCAACCAGTGTCCTGAACAGGTCTAAGTCTGCCCTCCAGAAGTCCATGGTAGTGATTTTGCTGACCCCCGAAAGTGTGTTGTTCTTCTCATCATCTTAGCTTACACCATTACTGCAAAAATGGTATTTGTGGTCATAGAATGATGCGCCAGGACTCCATTTGAACACTGTTGACTAGCTTGATGATTTACTTTGAGAATGTCGCAATCTGACCAGACATTTCAGAAAGATGCAGTCTCTGTATCTTCTATAGTCCTCATCTATACCATCTGTTCTGTTCTTCATAGCTACAGACAGTTGCCATAGTTAAGGTAGCATTTACAAACATTATTCAAATCATTTATTTGATAAATTGTTCCTATCCTAAACTGAGGAAATATTAGGTATCTCAAATATGTGCTGGAATAGCTTGGTCAATTATTCTGTGGTGCTAATACTGTATCTGTTTGGGAGGGCAGTTAGCTTGGAAAACAAACCATCATCTAGCTAGATTGCAGCATGTTGTTTACTGCGAATCTAGCACACGTTGTTTACAGCTCTGAAATCACAGCATGCAGGCAGCTACCTCTACAGACTCGCCCAAACCAGGGAGAGACAAACTGGCCATCGCTCAGCCTGTGCAACATCAGCTCTTTCTCTGGTACATTTTGGAAAAGCAGACAAGCTTCATGTCAGTGGAAATAACAGGGCTGGTTTTACAGTTGCCTTCGTGCCAGGACAAGGTGAATTTTTCCAATTCAAATGTACATTCCAAATTTTGATTTAAATAAATAAAAAATGAGTTCATAAGCTTGGAGTAAGCTATCTGCAAATTTTTAGCCAACAAATAACCATGAAAAGCAATTACATAATTGAAGTCTTTGAGAAATTATCTTCTTCGTTACTGCTCACCAAATTCAACTCAAATATATGACGTAGTATTTCTACATTTTGAACAATTTCTGAAACAATTTATTAAAGCACACTAGGAATTCCTACAAGATTTCAATCAACAACAATGTGAGTTCCTGTATCACCCAATGAGCATATAATGACTTCAATTTGATTTTTGCTTTTATTCTACTTACCAGTGAATGCTATGTAAGCCTCAGTTTCACTGATTTGTCAGGCTTGGACTTCTGGAATCCCTGCCTAACTTCTCAGATCTATTTTATAAAATCTCACCAAATAACTTTTAGAAAACAGAAGGCAAAATAGCATCATACCTGAGACTGTGCATTAATATTGGCTCCTTCCTTAACCAGAACTTTGACAACTTCAGCTTGTCCTGCTAAGGATGCAATGTGCAGGGCAGTATTCCCTTTCTGTGATAGAGAGGGAAAAAAATGAAAGACATTACCCTTCTTCAGGAATAATTTCAACCAACAGTTCTCTATAACTTTCATTTTTTGAGTACAATTTTACCTTACAGTTCCATGATGTTGCATAAACATCACAGGGTATAAAATTGGTAGTTGGAGCCATGAAGATTTCTGGAGTAGTTGTGCAACACTAACATCCTAACTTAATTTTGGAGTGAAATTACGGAATGTGTTTGGGGCATGGGACAAACTTTTAGGTAAAATCTAGTACAGGCTAACTAATTTTTTTTTTTCATTCAGGTCCAGAGACCACGCACTGTAGAAGGTAGCTGAAATCTAGAAGTCCCAAAATTCTAGCTGTGAATCACACATAAAATGACATTTCCCAGTACAAGACCCAAAAGGAAGATCTGACTGTTAGGTAACAGAAATCAGCCTTTTGGACACTTTTTTTCTCTTCTCTAATTGGCATAAAATTAAAATGCATATTATTGAAAAGTGTTTAAGTTAAGAGATGCACTGCACAATAAAAATAATCTCTCACAAAACAGCAGCAGTGCGGTAGACCACTGTTTTTGTACGAGCTCTGTATGTTTTGCAGGCCAGTCTCTCATCATGGGAGCAATATTTGAATGGCTTTATTAAAGAATCAAGGTTCATAAAACCAAAACAAAACCCCAAAGTCCTATCTAGAACCTGGTGGTTCTACCAACTGCTTCACTGAAGGGTGACTTAAAGATGTTTTTGAAGCAGACAACTTCTGGTTTTCCATCAATGATGGAAATCACAAGTTCAGCAAGAAGCTCTCTGAGGTGAGGACCAAGTGTTAACCTTGATGGAAATCCTGAGCGTCAGAAATAATAAAAAACAAAAGAGAGGCGCAGGGACACAGTGGTGATAACTAAATGCAAAGGCTGAGCACAGTCAGCCAACCTAGACACTAGAAGTCTAACATTATACGGTTCAAGCCAACAAATCCGGCCCATCACAAGGAATTTACCACCCATAGACAAACCACGTACTGACTGAATGTTTCAGACATATGCATGTGCCTGCCTGTGGAAAGGCTGAAGGAAAAACAACTTATCACACAGGTGGTTCTTCCATTGTGCCGTTGAGTGAAAAGGCTCTGCATATGATAGTCAGTTACCAGTTTTCATGGATTTGAAAATATCTACTATTTTGAGCTATATTCACTCTCTCTATAATGGGGACTTGTCATTGGAAATAATGAAAAATCCGGCATTGCTAAAACCTTTTAATGCTTCCCCTGTTTGTATGGTACAAATAATAATCTTTCCCTCTTCATTTACTACAAATGAGCTTCAGCAAAGAACATCGACTTGCAGGCTTTACTAGAAATAATATTTTAAATAACAGTGAAGTATTTATATTTTTATCTTATTTTGCACTTTTTTTTTTCCCCTAAATTTCTCCCATGTATTTGAATTTTTGTTTTTGTGAATAAACTTACAGACATGCATGAATTACCTTAGTGGCAGAATCCACAGATGACCCTCTTTCCAATAATTCTTGTACCAGTCCCACATGGCCTTCTTTAGCTGCCAGGTGCAGAGCATTGAGTCCATTCTGTAAGCACAAGGGCCATATCAGTTACAAATATCTGTTCCGAAGACACACATTCCTACCTTACCCTGGTATAAGAAGGAGATTAATAGCTGGAATACTATTACATCTCTTAGCTGACTGTCTACATAAGTCAGATATTTTGGACTTGGCTATTTAAGCCAAGGCAGTATGTGAAAAACTTCTCCAATAACATTTTTCTCATAGCAACAAAGACATCAAAACAAACCAGATTTTGCAAGTATCTGTAAGAGATTCCTTCCTTTCTGATAGTTTCACATTTCCACGGACTACTAGCTTAGGTATCTCCATGGAGCGCGTTATTTCAAAATTTGAGCGCATACCTGCCTTCTCTTTACTGTAACCACATCTGGCCCCACCGAGGTATTATAAACAGAGAGAAATCACAGGACTTTGTCAAATTTACACAGGATATGTGTATTCAATCAGGATTATTCCAGGCTGATGTAGCTGCCCTGAACCCTGGACTCTCCTCCTCTCCTCTGGGATAACTGGTATCAAACAGAAAACCAAAAGCACAAGTAGACTGAAATGGTTGTCGATTACATGTGGCTTGCAAATTATATTGGTCTTTGACTTAGTACCTTTGCTGGTTTCTGATGAGCAAGTCTTCACTAAACTTTGAGGTTTTCTTTTCAAAAATGAAAAGAAAATTCATGAAATTTCATTAAAATTTTCAAAAACAGCAACCTAAGACAGTTGGCATCTAAACCCTTTTCACATTAAATAGGAATACTTTCTCTCTTATAAATTCCAGCTATGGAAACTGTATCTTCCACTTCCTAGTATCCCTATTCCACCCAAGGGGAAAAAAAAAATAAAACGACAGTCTATTGTAACTGAATTGCCAACCTATTTTTCACAATCCTACGGTATTTTGCATGGTACGTCAGGCAGGTGACAGCAATAGATACTGCCACTGCCCTCAAGCATTCTCCTGCTTTCCATATTGCAAGCATCATATCCGATACTCAGCTATTTGAGTAACCCGCAGCAAGTTTAGTACTTTGTAATTTTTATCACTTTACTCATCTCTAAGCAGTTCATAGTCATTTACACTGCAAAATAAACAAGCAGCTTTACGTTCTTTTATCTGTCCATCCACAGAGTCAGTTCAAGCTTGTAATTCCCGGTAGGATTTTAAAGCACTTAGCACTTCACAGGAGGCATTTAATGGGAGTGGGTCCAATGGCTGCAGACACAGTAATCCAAATGCAAAGTAACTCCATATTCATGTAAGCAGCACAAACAGATTTTGTGGTCAAATTTAGAAGTGCAAGTATGAGTAATGCAAAGGAACTGAAGGCAGGCTACATTCACAAGCTGCCAAAAGAAGAAGAATACCCTTATGCAGCCTGGTAGTTAGGAGATGTTAGTGAGAAATGTGGTTTCAAATCCCATTATGCAGGTAAAGCAGCAGCAATGAGATATTCCTCATTCCAGAGGAACACTCTTACTGTTGAGCTGCAGAGTCCAGGAGTGGCAGTAGTGCCATGCTCTGGATCAAGGATAAATTCTTAGCCAGAAATATGCAGTGAGGTTGACCATAATCATCAAGACAAGGAATACTGTACGTCAGTGAAATTTTTGCAGGCTGAAAACACTCCATAAATCTCTAATCTTCCTTATTTTTTTAATCTCAGTTGGGTATTAAATAACCATAATTACTACCTACAGCGGTTCAAAGCTTTGAAATAAATAGTATTTTGTGGAGAAACACACAGAGTTCTCATTGTTTGAGAACAAAGACCTGTTCCCATATCTAATCTCACAGATTCAGTCATCAACACTTTCCACAGGAGTATGAATGGTAACTTTGACTGCTTGCAGTTGTACACAGCTGATGTATTGCTATTGCATGTGATAAACTTTTTTCACTCTTTGCGAGCAGACTGAAGTCCACAGACAGCAAAGAAACCTCAATATTGCATGGCCCACGCGAATTAGGCGCACACACATGCCTCTGAATGCAAAAAGCTGAGGGCAAGCTTCTTTTTTGGTTTACCACATGCCAAAATGTGGAGAAAGCAAGGCTTGTTCCAGTGCATAATCAGTAGCAATCTCTTAAAATACCTGTATTCATACCTCTAAGACACATATCTAATGATAGCACATTAAGCACCTGAAAGTTAATATTGTTGCATAGATTATGTGAGTTTCTTTGCAACACAACTTTTATATTCATTAAAACATAAGCAAAATGAATACATGACGTCCATTAAAAAGATTGCAGAGAGAAACTGTAGCCTAAATACAGTTCCTACTGTACACATTCAAATGTCATAATTCCTTAAATAAAGTAAGCCAGGGCAAGCAGCGGCAGAAGCAAGTACTGTATTTTAAATGTTGAGGGCCAGCACGGCTACAGACTTAAAGTAAGCTTTGTTGCTCCATAATCAGAACCAATGCCGTAATTATTTCCCATCCCACACGGTTGATGCCTGCTACTTATGATGACGGAAGCTAAGATTTAATCAATGCAACTCCTCCGTTCCTGTCAACTGGATTCTTGTATTTTAGAACAACAAAGGTTTCTGACACTTCCCTTTTTCTGTCCCATGACTACCAAAAAGTTGTGGGTGGAGGGAAGATGAAATTAGTTGTCTGCTAAGCAAAACTGTACAACTTACGGACTGCTCCTCCCCACAAAGCATGTGTATACCATAACTACCTTTCTTTTAGAGGCTCATTTGTAATTCTGACTCTGACAAAAGAACATAATACTTCCAAGCTTGGTTCTTCAAGTGTTTCCCTGCAGAGCCCCATTCCCTCCGTTCTTTTTTTCCTCTACCACTGACATAGAGACGTCAACATTTCGTACCCCGCAGAGTGCTACAAACGTGCACACATACCACTACAGCTCACAGCACTTATTACATTTTCACCACATCAGGAAAGCCCACAGATTTCTTGTACATCATAGAAATCACACCTTTTCTAAGCCAACTGAAAGTCAGTCACTTTTTCCCATAAGACAGGCACTAAGTCTCACTGCTACTGTCTGAAAAACCACTCGAGGAAGTCCATGCTACTTTTGTCTTTGTATTCAGTTGTCTCATGGAGTGATCCTCACGAAATGGAAGTTCGAGTATGTCCAACAGCAATATTGGCTTATATTATTCCTTCCTAACCCTGTTATGCCAAAGCAAACTGACCCCACGGAAAGGCAACTTCTTGGCAGAGCATCAGATCAACCTATAGTTGAAAGAACATTTTAAATCAGCAAAGCCAGCACTGCTACCAGAAGTGCTTCTGCTTCTCCTGCCCTCTCCTCTGCTTATTTCTATCCCCAGCCACCTTTCTGCAGATCAGGTCCCACAGTCATTCGGTGTGAGGCTGCACACGTGCTTCTGTCAGCGCAGGAAAGAGCACGGCACAGAAGCATGACCACCAGGTCAGGGCAAGGCTGGGATCGCTTCTTCCATAGCAGTATTGACTTGTTAAAAAGACCAGAGACAGCCCCAGCAGTCATCTAGCCTTACTGCAGCTTCACTAACACACTGCATACCAAATCTGCAATATGGGCGCAACACGAGCTTTTACACCCAGAATCACAGAATATTTGGGGTTGGAAGGGACCTCTGGGGGTCACCTAGTCTAACCCCCCTGATGAAGCAGGGTCACCTACAGCAGGCTGCACAGGACCGCATCCAGGTGGGTCTTGAATATCTCCAGAGAAGGAGACTCCACAGCCTCCCTAGGCTG